ACCCAGTCAGCAATCTGCATCCTAGTTTGCACTCTCCATACTATATAGCAAGTGCGGTTCATGTGATTGCCTTCAAAATCATAGTGCGACAAATACAGATTGCCAGAAATGCTTGAATGGTAAACTGTTTCTGGCAGATGTAAGTATGCATCCATGCAGGCTTTTTAGGCTGCTATTACCCAAAACCCATTACGCAAAAGGGAGGAGTTTCGGGCAAAATGCAGAGCCAAAACTGCCACAACATGTGCACAATGTTTTTTGTAATTCTCCAAAGATCTTCTTCATTCACTTTCTGGAGTGCTGGACTGTTTTTCTCTAATAATAAAGGCCTATTACTGAGGTTTATGCTCTAAATGGCTGCTTATGGCAATGCACTTCGTAAATGGGCGTTTACAGTGATGAATATTCATCTAGCTGCAATGGTGCGCAGCTCAGCTTTAATAGTGCACAGTCCAGGCACGCTGCAGACTCAGTCTATAGCAGGCAGCCAGGCAGGGAAGCTTCCAGCTGGGCTCATTTCTCCTCTGTGCACCATGCAAGAAAATCAGCCCTCAGCTGTCAGCTCTAACATAGACACAGCAGCGGGGCATAAGACTTGAATACGCGTCCAAGACATTTCTTTTGTTGTCATTCTTTGAAATTCACTTGACTGAACTCATTGGTAAGGATTATTATATCTTGTTTGCCTAATAGCTGAATGTTTCTGTGATGTGTCGTGTGACCGCTCATGGGCCGCCCAGTGCATATTGCACACAAAAACGGTGGCTGACATCAAAAGCTCATATCAGATTGCCTGGATTTTATGCTGTCTGATGCAGTTTTTATCAGCCCACCAGGAAACAAAAAAGTTGTGTTTACAAATTCTGCTACAGTGAGCACTTCTGATATTTTTTTTATTATCTGAGTTCTTTGAAATACTCTTTTGTAATCCTGCTGATTTCATATGGTTTTGAACAACTTTTACACAATTTATTATGATAGCTGACAATATCATAAACTATTAACTCATAAATATCAATGTGTTTTTACACATGACAGTTTAAAACCTTGCCATGTCATAAAAAAATAAATACAATTATCAGACATTTTTAGAGACTTGATCCTGACACAGGCACACAATCATGAGTCATGCAGGGGTCCTTTCTTTGGTAGCTTTTTACTGTTCCAGTGGTGTGAAAAATAAGAAATCTGGAAGGGGGCCAACACTTTTTCACACCACTGTAAGTGTTTAATAAAAAGCCCAACCTGACACATTAATGGAAATAAAGAAATAACAATGCATTTATTCATTGAAATTCTTGTATTGTTTTATGCCAAATGGCACATAGAGTTGTCAAGAATGTATTTATTTTAATTAGGCTTTTTTAATCGTCAGTGGTATCACCCTGACATTTTGCCTATATCTTAAAAAAATAAGGGGAAAAACATGCTTATCACAGAAGAGGTTTATTCCATTCATTGTATATTTGAATAGATTTGTATGTATTTTTGAATAGTACTGGAATATCCAAACGTTTATGGCTTCACATCTTCAAAAATGAGGTTACCATTGCCATGAAAAACCTAGACATATCAAGAATTTTTTTAATTATGATTTCCAGACCTTAAAAAGCCATGTGAATTTCTAATTATGCTAGACCTTAAAATAATTATGGTCACACTTTATTTTAAGGTCCAGTTCTCCCTAATAACAAACCATGAACTATGACTTTTGTGACAATAAACTCCTAATTTGCTGCTTATAAATAGTTAGTAAGGTAGTTGTTAAGTTTAGGTATTGGGTAGGATTACGGATGTAGAATATGGTCATGCAGAATATGTGCTTTTTAAACTTCAAAAGATAATCTACAAATTGCCTTTTTAATTGCCATCTCTATTTTTAGATCCTTATCTGGTATTAATGAACAATACACTAAAATTAATCGGTCGTATTATTGGTCGTGTGGAACCCTGTTAGTAACAAATAAATGAGATATGCTTGGGCACAACTGTATATTTTGCTCTTAGTTATGTCCATATGTACATTTATCCGCCCCTATATATCATACAGAAAAATATACTGCGGTTGGTCATTTAACATCAGTCAGACAGCCCTTTCCTGTCTAAATGGGCAGCTCTTGGCCAAAATAAGCTGCAGAATGGAACACACCATAGTCCTCTAGGCAATGTAAGACTACATACTTTTTTTTAGTTTGTCTCAAATAGTATATTTCTGTGGGGTACTGATATTTGGTCTTCTGCACTCTTCCCATATAGGATGTATAAAACTGCTCGTCCTGACAACAAAGTGAAACAAATCAGATATAGCCTTTTCTGCATCTTCCAATGCATATGAAATGAGTCATATGCCAGACGAAAGCACTCTGTGATCATATCTGATGTGCAGAATTATGACTAAATAAATCAGGTTAGTGCTGGCATCAGCTGTAAATGCACAAAGCCTATTTTAATAATGAAACATTCAATTGGTCTAAAGCAGAGCCTGGAGGGACGCCTGATTGTGTTTACTCCAATGTCCTACCTTTTTTTCCCCCTCCTCTGCAGCACTGGAGAATTGCACCCGGCCCACGCATACACCCGCACGCGTACACGAGTCAAAGTGACAGCGTAATATTAGTCGGAGCGAGATGAAGTGCGCGTGAGTTGATAGATTCTTCCCCGCTTTCTCTGTCAAACACACTGAATACATTCTGGTGTTCATTCTCAGCTTATGGGGCTGTCATTTAATGCAAAGCTCTGCCACCGCATTCCTTCTGAATGCGTGCGATTTAAAATGGTTTTCCACTACGTCGCATGTTCGGTCTCTAGGTATTGATGTGGCGGTGAGTTGGTGCTCTCGCGCCACGTGCTGAACGAATGAGTGGTAATGTCAAACAGAGGTTGCCTGATGGAGGCGATCTTTAGGCCCTGAGCGCAGCAGTACGGTTGAGATAATGAGCCCAGGCACTGCTGGAAGCTGGAACCGTCAGAACTTTCCAGCGCAGCGTTAAGAGAGCACTGTGGTTTTCACATCAAGCCAAGGAGCTGCAGTTGCCATTACCGAAGAGACTATCGCTTCTTTTAGAGGAAACATCTCCAGGCTGCCCTCTAAGAAAAGCCTGCCAGCCAATTCAGCCCACTGCAGATATAGTTTGCTTCCCATGAACCTGAAAAGCTTAGAGTTTTTGATATGCACTGAGCAGAGGATGGAGGCGTGAAGATTGTGAGTTGCACCAAATAAACTTGGAGTCTTGGTGCTAAATGTAGTGATGGGCATTTTCCAAACACTTTGTGAAATTTCAAAACCTTTGCGATTCATTTATTCCAAGTCAGTGATTCAGAGCACACATTAAACCATGAAAGTCATGTTTCTTATTCAACCCAGGCTCATTGAAGATATGTGCTTGTGGTGATGTTTATTCAACACTGATATTAGGTACCTTACTGAATGTTTCGCAGCCGTTTCAACGTGAAATATCCAGTGAGTGGCGCTAAAACGCGCATTCGGTATGCCATGTTTTTATTACATTGGTATAGGCATGTATTGCTGTATTTTTATTACATTGCTTACAGTACGTTTTGGGGCGGTTCAGAATTCAAATGTCTGGGGAGTGTCACTAAAATGCTAATGTTTGACTGTGTTGGAAATATTCCCTACACCAAACCCAACCCTAAACCTTGCTGATAATGCAAAAATGCATTCACTGATGCAACCGTGCTGTTTAAGCTTCCCTATATGTGGGTTTGAGCTGTAGAAACCCACTACAAAGGGGGAAGTCGTGGCCTAATGGTTAGAGAGTCGGACTCATAACCCAAAGGTTGTGGGTTCGAGTCTTGTACCGGCAGGGATTGTAGGTGGGGGGAGTGTCTGTACAGCGCTCTCTTCCACCTTCAATACCACGACTGAGGTGCCCTTGAGCAAGGCACCGAACCCCCAACTGCTCCCCGGGCGCCGCAGCATAAATGGCTGCCCACTGCTCCGGGTGTGTGTTCACTGTGTGTGTTCTCTGCTGTGTGTGTGCACTTTGGATGGGTTAAATGCAGAGCACTAATTCCTAGTATGGGTCACCATACTTGGCCACATGTCACGTCACTTTCTTTTCTTTTCTTTTTTCTAGAACTGTAGTTTCATGGGATTTTTACCGGAGCACTTCACCTTACAAGTGCAACGCCTACTGAATTAGAAAACCCATACATATGCAGCTGTATATGTGACGCTAACTGACGTAATTGTGCTGTGAACCCATGAACCACCATCTGTCGCTGCATACAAAATCACAAACAACCATTAAAAAATTGTCTATATACAGTAGTATGAATAAAATTCGGACATATGTTGAACATCTGATATATTGTCCTTGTAATGTGTCAGTTGCGTTGCTTCATTTCCATTCACAAATCCTCTCCTGTGGCCTCATGGGATAGTAAAGTGTCCATCAGATGCACACTTCAGAATCCTACCGGAAGTAGTAGGTCATCTGTGTATTTTTTATCTGTTTTATGAGTACTATGAATTTGGACATTCTACTCGGCTCACATAATACTATATAGTATGGAAGTAAGCATTTACAGTATATTGGCACAGTGTATGATTTTTTTTTTTACTGATCTTTGATCAATTTAATAGATTAATAGACATTTTAATGACACATTTGTATAATAAAAAGGAAGAGTTATGGTTAATAGTCTCTTATTGGCCCAATTACCAAACTCTCCATAAAACAAACAAGTCCTACAATTTAATAAACAAATACAGACACTTCATATTTAGTAGTATTAAATTATTCATAATTACATATAATAAATTAAAGTAAAAAAAAACAAAACATTTGCAGTTGGTTTGTGATTTGTTTGGTTTTTGATGCATGTTTGAGCTGAGTTTACCTTACATTTACACCATTCTCACCAGCAGGCGTCACGAGTGTGTGGCGTTTCTAGAGCTTCAAAACAGTGAATCATTTTGTGAAGCAATTGGTTCAGTTAGTTCAAAGTTTCGAAAGCTTTGTTTCTCCCATCACTAGCTAAAAGTCTTTTCTGTTCTGTATTTCTCCCTATAGGTGAGGACGATAGCCTGGCCTTTAAGGAGAAAGTTACAGTGGAAGAAATCTTCAAGAAAGACTTCAAAGTTCATGACCCGAATGCTAAGTGGATCAGCAGTAAGTTCTCTCATCAGCAGACATCTGATTTCCTCTATTGCAGTTCTTCCTTTATCTGCCCATTATCTGATACGATTGCAGAGATTATCTCAGCATTGAGTCACAAACGTACTATAATTCTCATTGTGCACATAATCAATTCAGAGAGGCAGTGAAATACAGGCTTGTGCATTGCTAATTTCCTCTTCAAGGTAAAACGAAAGTATTGATTCTGGTTTTTTTTCAAAGTCTTGAATTTCAAATATTTGAGAATCAAGATCTTCCTGAAACCCAAACAAAGAGGTTTTGGTTTAAAGAGGTAACAGTTTCCAAGTACAGTGACTGCAAAAATTATCTGAACATATAGTAATGTCTTGTCTGATTGCATGTAATAACTTTAGATGACATAATCGTAATAAGTAGAATTTATTTTGAAGAAAGCATCAGCATATTTTCAAACAAAACATAAAAAAATAGGTTTGAAATTATAGATATAGTGTTTAAAATGAGACAAAAAATATTGTGACACTTTGTGGTTGTGAAATGTGTGGTTTGATCATCTGTGTGAACTTGAGAAATTATATCATACATCTACCAACCCTTGTGAAAAAGAAGTACACTTGTGTACTTATTACAAAAATAATGTACTTTAAAAAAGAGATACTTAATTCACTAATTAGACAGTTAATTGCATTGTTAAATGAAAATTTACAAGGTTTAAATTGATATTAAAATCAGTTTGCTGAACACGAGTTGATTTGTCGACCCATTTAAGTAGGTCTTTATATATCATTTAATAATTAATTTTAAATAATCATTTTATTTGTTCTTTAATTCATGTTTAAAGTCTACTGCCGATTGTACTGACAAGCAATTATGTTAAATTAATAATTTAATGTCATTATACTGAAAATGATAATATATGTAATATTTATTTCAATATATATATATTTATGTAATATATTTAAATGTATTTGTAATGACATTTGTAAAGATGAAGTTGCAATTTATTTAATTTAAAATATGTTTAGCATGTTTGTATAACTTTAAATGCAATATAAAATGCTAGACTACAGTTAAAATTATAATCAAATATTTTACTGTACATGTGTACTTTTTTACTTCTACTTTAAAGCATGACAACTATTAAAACTTGTAATCCTTAATGTTATATATTTTATTTTATATTTGATTTCATTAATATTACAATATCTACAAGCAGATTTTTTTATATACTTTTTAAGGTTACACTACAAGTCACATTCATTGCAATTAAGTAGCCCAAATAAAATTTTTACTAGTGAAAAAAAACCCATGGTAATCCTTTGCAAAAACGGCTCAGAAAAGTTATGCAAAAGTGCAAATGACCTGCTTTGATATGATTTCTTATGAAATAACCATTCAGACTTGTTTAAGTGGGTCTGAAGGTTTCCAACTTGTTTTTGGGGCAACTCTACAATACTGAATTAAGTCAGAATGAGGGTGATTAAACCTTTGTGGACATGTGTCTGGATTGTGATGTCTTTTCCTCATGCAGACGGATGACTTGATGTGAACGGAGGGAGGCGTTTATCAGCGGATAGATTAATCAAGCAGTCTGATTTGGTTTGAGCTTCATTGAGCTGTCTCCTCTAATCAGCTGCTTTAGGCTGTGCAGATATGGAAGCTCTCTTCATGCTCTAGTCTCAGCCACAAACGCTTCAGAGACAATTAAATGCATATTGCACACAAAAATGGCAAAAACTCACTGAAGTTGTTTATTTATGTCACTTAATTATTGCCTATTATTGGGGTATCATCAATTTCAGATTTACTTACCCTTAAAGTCAGCATGAAATGAAAATTCACATTTAGTTGTTTCTAAATGCATGTTATTGATCTTACTGTGAACATTTCATTCATGCATACAGATTTATTTTTTTACCTAACTTTTTTACAATTTTTAATCAAATGTCTGGTGAAATGATAAACTTCTTGCTTGTAAAGGGTTCACCCCAAAATTAAAATTGTTGTCATTTGCTGTACCAAAACTGCATGACTTTCTTTATTCTGTTTCCATGCAGTTACAATGAACAGGGACAGAAGTTTCCCAGCGTCAAAAAAGACACAAAAGCACCATTAAAGTTTAAAGTGATCTATACATTTTGTGTACTACATTCACAAAAAGTCTGATGTTATGCAGAAGCTTTGTGTGAGAAACAGAGAAAAGAATCTTGCATTTGGGAATGGTAATGATGTCACAATCATTTCCAAACATAACTTTGGCTGCAGTATAATCATGGTATGCAAGACAACCAAAACAGCAGTTATATCTGACCTGCAAGTCAACAAAATCTATGCCACTCAGTTTGTAGATGTTGTGACGCATTTAAAGCACAGTGATGATCATTTTGCTCATTACAATTTTGTTCATGTTCCTGCATTGCAGCTATATGGAGGCATCAGCAGACCCTCATCACTCTCACACAGGAACATTAACTCAGCGCTCACAGTCATTAATCTCATTTGGCTTTGATTCATAACATAACAAAGTGCAGTTCACCGCCTAGCAAGCGGGTGGAGTAATTTAGCTCTAAATTATGGCACAATGTCTCTGCTCTCGTATTGATTGATGCTCTGCCCATTTTTCACACCATCATTTTAGCTCGTTATCGTTCATGTCAGTCCAGCAAAGGTAAACAGATCTGTCGGAAAGTAATGAACTGAAAGGTGATGAGAAACCTCTGCCTCTCTGCTTCAATAATGAGTTTTACAATTTCAAATACTGTTCTTTCTTATTTTTCACATTTGCCTTTTTGTATTAAATGTTTGTTGCGTTGTTTTTAGAATCTCTCTGGGTCTCTCTGAGTTTACACCATGTCATTGTTACTTTTTTTACTTGTTTTTATTTAACTGGTAGTATTAAAACAATCTACACAAAATAGTTAACAAATTAAAAAGAGCAATACTTTTACAGCATTTATTAATCTTGTTAAATGTTTCTTTCTATGTATACTTATAAATTACTTTAAACATTAAAGTAAAAAATGTATTAATATAAGGAACGTTATCGCGGCCAATAGCCTCGTGGGCAGCGCGTCGACATGCGGCGCGGTTGCGCTTTGGTTTCACTTCGTTTGTCCCGAGTTCGAGTCCTAGCTTGCAGATCTTTCCCGATCCCATTTCACTTCCTGTCCTCTCTACACTGTCCTATTAAATTAAAGGCAAAAACAATAAAAATAAGTATTTAATGTAAGGAACGTTAACCTTAGTTATCAGCATTATAAGCTAACAATGAACAATAGTACCTTTTTCAAAATCATCACCAGTGATCTGTCCATCAGTGATCGGATTTGTGAATTTTCGTAAAAACTCCTATTATAATCAATGACACACTTAACACTGCTAAACGAGTCTCTTATTTACATTTAGATTTTACTGTTAGTTATGATGAAAGTATTCGTGAGATCTTCGCAGCAATGCAACCCCTTTGATGCCAAGAGAGTAGTTCTAAATATAATGTGATAATCAGCACTTGAAACATATTTAGCCAAATTTCTTCAAATGGGCAAGAAAACACATTTTCAATTTTGCAATTTCCATGTCTATTTTGGGTACACTGATCATATATTTTTGGCAATATACAAAAACAAATGGGGCAATACATTTTTTTATCATTTGCCATGGTATTAAAAACTTTATGAAGAGAAACCTGAACAGTAGGAAATGTGGGATATGACACGGTTTGTCACCATTTTAATATGATTACGCGGCTCCATCATGACTCACCTGCGGTGAAATCATAAATGTATGTAAAGACTTTGGCCCTGCCACAGTCAATTAGAGAAAGGAAAGAGCACTGCTTTGATTATTTGATCTTCGTTAAAGTGTCAGAAGCACTTAGTTGGGCAGATCCACAGAAAGCAGGGCCCATAGTTTCTATTTGGAACATTAGCTATTACTTGATTTTCAAGGACAAACCAGAAATTGAATTTTTTTAATACTGAGTTGGTGCAGAATATGTTTTCCTTTTTATTTTTTCCCCCAAAGAACTTTCCACAACTCATCAATCAAAGTCAGAACGTCACAGCTGATGCAGCTCATACTGAATGAATCTATAAATGAATCAATGATACAGGTAATTTATTTACACAGGCAAAGCCTTTCTCTCCCTTGAGCTTCTCCGTCCATCGACCACTTGCTTCCATCACAGAAATCTAGTGTTTTCAGTAGTGCTCTGGTAGTAAAACTCTGACAAAGGAAAACAAATAGAACACTTGGATTTCTTCACTGCCTTCAAGGAAACATAGACTATTATGAAGAAATAGGATTACGTTCAATCCAGGAAATAAAAGCCCATGACGTCCCTCTGATAGGGTTAGTTCATCCAAAAATGAGAATTCTGTTACCATTTACTCACCCTTATGTTGTTCCAAACCCATTCGTTCATCTTCAGAATGCAAATTAAGGTTTGTTTAATATTCTCTCCTAATTTTTTTGGCCATCCATTGAAAATGATCAAAGGAAGCTCAAACGTACATGCTTGACACATTCCAGTGCATCAATCAAGCATCAAGTTTGAGCTTACATTGACCATATTTGATGTTTGCTATGTATGTGCGTTGATCAATTATGTGAATAAGAGCCTAAATTAAATCTGTTCATCATATAAAGCGATCAGTTCTCTGAAGAAGACTTGGATTAAACTGGTCGATTCATATGGATTACTTTTATGATGTTTTTTGAAACTATACTTCCAATGGATGGACACAAATGGTGAGGAAATATAAAAAATATCTTCATTTGTGTTGAAACAGATTGAACAGAAATCTTATGGGTTTGGAGTGACACAAGGGTGAGTAAATGATGACAGAATTTTCATTTTTGTGTGAACTAACCCTTTAAGATCTGCCTTGAATCATCTTTGCCATCATGAATCATCTTTTGCCAAGCCATCTTGCTGTAAGCGGCTGTCGTTCAGCGTTCCTCATCCCACTGTTCTGTCCTCTATCTCCCTTTGGCTGTAATAGACTCTCTCATTT